CCGCCCCCCCCCTCCTGCCAGGCCTGCTGGCAGCCACCTGGCATCTCTGGCTGCTTTGGGGGACAAGCCGCCCTGCCAGTGACTCCTCGCCTGGGCAGTTCACCCTCCTCAGGCAACCTGTGCCGCTCCCACAGGTGCCACCGACAGGACAGGACTTGGGGTCACACAGGTCACCTGGGCTCGCCCCCATCAGCCTTCACGTGACACGCAGCACCGTTGGGCCGCACCTAGCAGTGGACGCCTCATTCTACATTTGGTACGTAGCTAATTTCCATGTTCTTTATTCTAGTCTGATAAATCCTCTGCATCACATTATTGTGAATACACGCCTGTTCCCACGCAGGGTGTGCGAAAGGGGATCCCGTTAATACCACCGTTACTCGGCATGGCGTCACTCGGTCCCAGCCCGTGATGTCACCGCTGGGCCCCCCCCCCCCGCAAATGAGCCTCCTCGCGGGCTGGGAAGAGTCATCCCTTTTAACCACCATTTTTTTACAGTGTATGAATGTCGTTTATAGTCTGGCTTCCTCACCGAGACTGGAGGGAGATTACTATCTAGAGTAGAGCAATACAGTCAACAGGATACGGCACCCAATGAGCGGTGTAATCGGATTGCAGAAATCTGAAACTCTGCAGAAATTTGAGACAAAATGGAAACAAAACAAAACACGTGAAATGATGGCGAAATTATGTGGTAGGATAACGTGTACAGCAACAGAGTGCGCCATACACAGTCGTATAGTCCACACTGGTCGTCACCCCCCCCCCCCCCCCGCTTTTACATTCTCGTGCCATCTCCTTTCCTCCCCCCCCCCCCCGAATTATTCCGTTTGGCATAGTTTGTGGGCAAGGCCTGCTAAACAGTGAAGGGCCACAGCAGGCCGGCCGACTGGGATTCAGGGCCCCGTCTCCAGGCAGCCTCTGCGGCCTCTCACAGTGGCAGGCAGGAGGCCTCCTCGTGAGCAACTTCAGCTGGGGGTGTTTCCCGACCAGTCGGCGGCTTGGATGTCTCTCTGGGCTTCCATGGGCTGCCCTTGTTTGTTCCGTCTGAGCCTCAGTGTTCCACGCCTGAAAATGGGAGGGGATGGTTCTGTGCTCAGAATCTGGCACGGGATTCATTGTCTTCCAGAGTCACCTTTCGGCCTTGGTGTTCCCCACCATAAGGAGGAGAGCTGCCTCTTATATAATGCTGTTTGTGGTCTCTGGGACTCTCTCACTGGTTTTGTGTGCCTGTGCCCACAGATGTCAAGCACGTGTGTCATGGGCTCGCCCCCACCCCTTACCCCACTCCTGGACCACCACTTTTTGACCCTCAACATTGCCACCCCACAATGGTGATTGGCCCAGAGCAGCCCGGCGTTCTAGGAAGACGCAGCGGCGGCAGTAGCTTTTGTGAACCTCTGGAATACTGCCTTTTTGAGTCATGGGTGCGGGAGAGGGAAAGAAAGTGCTGGTGCTTCTGCTGCTGAGCGAGCGGATTGGACTCTGTACAGGGTTGGAAGTTCCAAGGAGGCACTACCGTGTCAGCCTTTGAACGGGATCAAAGACACTCACACTGAAGGGGCTGCAGGGAGACGTCTTGAAAAGGAGCCTTTGTGTGGGGGTGGGGGGGTGGGCTGCGTGGTGTTCCCTTGTTCATTCGGCAGCTAAGTAGAGAAAAGGCACTCTGCGCAAAGTGTAGAGTCTGGATAAGAATGCAGCAGCCCACACTGACTCCACGGACACAGGTGCGGTCAGAGACCCTGGACTTGCGCTGAGCCTCCGTCCAGCGGTGTTGCATGTCCATAATGGCTGAGCTGGCGGCTTCATAAGGTCCAGTGCCAGGATCTGGGGTGGTGCGTGCAAATGCTGAGGGGGTCTTTGGCTGCACAGGAGTGCAAAGACATTTTTATTTGCTGCGTCTATAAGTCCGCCTGTCTCGCAGAGACCCAAGGATGAAACATCTAGTGAGGAATACAGTAGGAGGCCTGCGATTAAAGCAGTCTGGAACAAAGCAGTATATGATGATATTACCTAAGTATGAAACAATGCAGACAGAGCTGGATTATGCATACAGCAAGCAGCCAATACCAACTGTACACAGTGGTATAGTTTACCATTCTTTTCCCTTTATAAAAGTGCCTTCCCGGACCATTCCATTGAATGTGAGAGCTATGAGTACACATCCCCCTATGAGTGCTCAGAAAACCCTCTAGGGAGCCTTTGTCCGTCCTCTTCCAGACCTCTCGGAGGACGGGAGACGGTGGGTGCCACGAGACCGGAGGAGGGCAGATGTGATCCCCATTTGCAAAGAAGGGAGGAGGGATGAGCCAGGGAACCGCCGGCCGGTCCGCCTGACCTCTGTCCCGGGGAAGAGCCTGGATGAGATTTTCAAGGGAACAGTCTTCCAGCTTCTGAAGGACCACTTGGTGACCCGGGGAAGCCAGCACGGACTTGTCCCCAACAGGTCCTGCCAGACCAACCTCCTTTCCTTCTTGGATGGAGTGACGAGCTTCGTGGATCGCGGGAATGCTGCTGCTGCTGATGTTGTTTACCTGGATTTCAGTACAGCTTCCGACAGAGCTCTCCATGATGTTCTGATGGGTAAACTGGAGGACTGTGGAGTCTAGGATAGGTAGGTGGGCAGGGAACTGGCTGGAGAGCCGACCTCAGAGAGAGGAGTTGCCAGTGGCATTTCATCGGAATGGAGGGAGGTGTCCAGTGGGGTGCCACAGGGCTCGGCTCTGGGATGTGAACAAGATGCAATTTAACAAGTCCCGAGTTCTACATCTGGGTAATAAAGATGAGGAACTCGCATACTGGATGGGGGATACACTTCTGGGTAGCGGTGTGGGTGAACAAGATCTTGGGGTGCGGGTGGACCATAAATTAAATATGAGCAGCCGGGGTGATGTAGTGACAAAAAAGGCTAATGCTATCTTGGGGTGTATCAACAGAGGCATAACATCCAACACTCGCCAGGGATGCTGTAGGCTGGTCCTGCACTGAGCAGGGGGTTGGGCTAGATGGCCTGCAGGGCCCCTTCCCACTCTGTGTGATTCTAGGATTCTATGAATAGGACTGTTGAGAAGATCACGCTATGGGGCAAAACCAGCCACAGTCTTGCCCTCCCTTCCCACTGTTGTTGTCACCACCACCTGGAGTAAAATCCAGGGGGGCCCCCCTCCATGGGTTGCCTGAGGCTAACTCCACAGGGGTGCATCTCTGTAGTATGCCAAGGAGTTACTTGTACAGACTAATTAAACAACTTTCTTTCTATGAGGCACAAACTCAGGGTACTACAAGGGCAGATCTAGGTGCAGTAAACAAAATAACTGAAAGGGCCGTGACTAACTAGGTACTTACCACCCAGGGTATATCAGATCTGGTCTTTCTTAGTTGCAGGATTCACCACCCACCCCTTGTGGTGCATCTGGAACCCTCCTTAGCATCATTCCCTTCTGTCATCATCCGTCAAGACAAAACACACAGGAGAGACAACCGCTCCCCTGAAGGACGCCACCACCCAATTCCAGCCTCCACCCCGGAACGCCACGCTCCCAAACAAAGGCCAATCGGTGTGCCTGCAGGACTCAGGACCCAAAAGACCGCCAGGCCTGGACTTTCTGGTCAAGAGGTGTTAACCTATATCAAAGGGCTAGCATGTTTTCCCCTCTCAGTTGGGGAAAGGATGCTCTCTATCCGGGAAGAGCC